CCCGCCGCTAATTAGATGTGACTTCAGGGAAGAATATTGGCGCTATCTGTGAACTGAGACAATCGTCCCCTTCACCTCCCGTCTTTGTCAGACCCGACAGTCAGAAAATCTTAATTATCTACATTGAAAATGTTCCCACTTTATTATCGTAGGTTTCTAATTCTTAATAGGTCAGGATCTGTATATAGTTCCACCGGTCACTCCCCTCAACCCAAAAAACACTTTTTTCTCTGATTAAGATTTCGTTCTCATTGTTCTTAAAATTTCCCTTACTCCAAATTGATAATGAGTCTTTCTACGCAAAAGTAGGTCAGATGTTTTGACCGATATCTGGTTTTCATCAAGCGGCCCGTTTTGATATCATGTCTTTTCCTTTCTTTCTTCTTATCATTTCTAATTCTATTCTTCCAATTGTCTTTAAAAAATTCGGCCACACGCAGGCCAAGATATCTTTCTGACTCGTGTTTTTTAATGACCGCTTTTTGTATTTCTCGACCTCTCTTTTTTGCTTTTCTCTTTTTCTTCCTCTTCTTCCCTTAGGATCGTCTAAGTACAATCTTAGTGAATTATTTTCAACTCAATTATTTTCCGTTTTAAAAAAAATCAACAACCTGTTTAGTAAACCGAGTAAGAAAAATTAAATCATATTTCTATGAATATTTCTAATAATGCAAGGTGCCACACTATAACGGAATCTTACCTACCATACAGACAGCACATTGTTCTTGAAAATCACCGAGTCGGTCAAAACTACTTAAAACAACAAAGCAAGCATGCACTGTCTCGATCACAAAGAACAAAACCTCATTTGAAAATTGGAAAAATACAATAAAATAAGAATTAACAACAACAGTATATATCTGGAAACACAGAAGTCAAAATGGCTACAAATGAAAGGAAGGAAAAAGGGAAAAAAAATGAGGAATTATTTTAAAGTTAAAAAAATGGTGAAAAGAACAAATAACCGTGACATTCTACACGTACGCACATACGCGCATATATATATATATATATATATATATATATATATATATATATATATATATATATATCTCAAACAATTGACCTCATAATCTCTAATAACTCTACAACCACACAGCTAAATCCTCTACAAAAAAAAAAACAGTGTAGTGTATCAATTTACGTGCCCGTGCCTTGTGTATCTATTGTGTATCTCTGATACTAATAATAAACCCCCTAAATATATTGGTTTTACTACAACCACGCTTTCCCGTAGATTTACCTGTCACCTTTCTGATCTTAGTTCTATTAAACAAAATTTCTTAGAAAAACATAGCTATCTTCACAATATTAGACAGATATTAGTCGATAACACTATAATATTCACACATACATACAGTAAAAAGAACCTTCAGATAATGGAGGCTATGTACATTAAAACAAAACAACCCACACTCAACAAAATTACATTTCAAACTAGTCACAACACATTACATTAAATCTAGACATATGGTTCTGTTGTAACACTTCGCTCTGTGACGTCATAGAACCGCATCTTGAAATTACCAACTGCGTCTGCTATTCCGTGACCGTTATCGTCGCATTCCAATCTTTTATGTCAATATAACAAAATATTATCTTTGATTGGTGAATATAAATGTCTATATACCCACTCTGAAGATGGCTCATGTGAGCTGAAAACTTGAATCGAGGAACAACTTAATAAAAAATATTCAAATGTTGGACAATTTTTGTCTTTATTTTCAGCTGAAATTAAAGCAAAAATTCGAACATTAGAAGGGCTCATGATCAGACAAAATAGACACTCATTGTCTGTTATATTTAACCACATATATATATATATATATATATATATATATATATATAGGTTTTATTAAAGACCAAAGAAAGTTATTTGCTATCTCTGGGAGGTGGGGGGTCTTCCACTCCTGTTGGTTGCTTAGTTAAGCCGATGAGATTTAGTCGTAAAAATCGGATTAGTTTAGAGAGAGGTCAAGGCCGCGGAGACCATTTGGCAGTCGAGTGATAATATCTTTTATCCTGTTGGGCAAATGGGAAAATAACTGAAGAGTTCTCTTCCACTGAACATAACACACAGGTTTCGATGTAATTAAAGAAGATGAGCGCTCTTTTTCAACACACTTAGCAAAGAGCATTTGAAAAATCTGAAGACAAGGGAAGAGGAAGCGGTTGAAATTTCGGTAAAAGTATTACCAAAGATGTTGAAGAAGATGAGAGGACCTGGGGTTCATTTAAACAATCTTAAGACTAGAGAAGAGGAAGCGGTTGAAATTTCGGTTAAATGTTTACCAAAGAGCTTGTAGAACTTTATTTAATATTTATTGAAACCGTTAAGATCGGTAAAACATATTTATAATAATTTCGATGGTCTGTGAATAGTTTCTGAAAGTTTCATTAACATCCGACAATTATTTTTATTTTTACAAGATTTTCCAAATTAATGTGTGTCATACAAAAATAACGCGTTAAAAATTGTATATGTTATTTTACTAGTTCCGGTGAAACAAAGAGAAACAAAGATTTTTAAATCAAAATTCAGATTGTTCTAAAAAGAAGGAATTTTTTTTTTTAAATGATTAAAATAAACTTTGATCTTTCCTCTTTATAATAACATTTAGACGATAAAATTTTGTTTTCGTCAAGTTTGGCGTCTTTTTCATCATGCTATGCTCTTGTTTTAACGCTCTCGTAGAGGTACCTACATCTTATTTATTATAAAACGCAGATTGTGTGTGTGTGTGTGTGTGTGTACGTTTATATATTGGATCGGATTTCTTACATTTTTCAACCGATTTCAACAAAACTTCACAGGACTACGTAAAATTACTTTGCAGTGGTTCTGACAGCGCCAAAAATTGGAAAAACACAATTGTTTTTGCACGAAATCAATTTGAAAAAACGATAAAACACGATTCTCTCGCCAGAATGAAAGGGGAATAACTCATATCGAGTTATACTTATTATAAAACCCAGGTTGTTTGTGTGTGTGTTACATCTACATCTACCTACATCTTACTTATTATAAAACGCAGATTGTGTGTGTGGGGGGTCGTTTATATATGAGATCGGATTTCCTACATTTTTCAACCGATTTCAACAAAACTTCACTTTTTTTTTTGGCAGATAGTGTTTCTTATTGTCTTGCACACTTTTTTCTTTATTTTTACATTCAGAATGCTTTAAAAATTCCATTTGCACGACAATTGTTTATAATAAAATTCTATTCAATCAGTAGACTCATAACGATTGAAAACAATGTTTTTGTTTGAGTTTGGGTTTGACCAAAAAAAAAAAAAAAAACAAAAAAAAAAAACTAATTAAGACATGCGTGTCCGTCAACCTTAAACAATAATCTTTGTCAATTTTATTTTTCAGTCTTTATGATGGTCGATACTTGATCTATCTCTTACTGTTACATCCTCGGGCAACGCCGGGCTCTACTGCTAGTTAAGAATAAAAAAAAATAGAATTGTTCCGTCCAAGTGACGCGTTTATATACAAATGGCTCGGCACTTCTAGGTTTAAAATATCTACGCAGTTAGCGTAGGATTTGTGCAACAGTCGTATTCTGATCAGCGTAGTATCTGTGAGCTCAGCCTAGAATCAATGCAGTATCTATGCGCCCTGCCTATGATCAATGTAGTATCTGTGCGATTTGTTTACGATCAGCGTAATACCTGCGTATTCGTCACAGTGTAGTATCTGGCACTCTTCCTAGGATAAATGTAGTATCTGTGCACTCTTTTTAGAATCAATGTATCTGAGCACTGTTCCTACGATCAGTGTAGTACTTATAGGCTATGCTCATGATCACTGGAGTTTCTAAGGGCTCATCTTAGGATCAGTATAGTATCTGTGCATTCTGCCTAGTATCAGAGTAGTATATGTGCACTCTGCCTCGCATCCATGTAGCATTTGCGATATGCTTATGATTAGTGTAATATATGTGCCCTAAGACTAGGATCAGGGCAGTATGCAATCTTCCTAGGATCGGTGTAGCATTTGTGTGCTCTGTCTAAGGTCAGTGTAATATCTGTGCTCTTTGCCTAGGTCAGTGTAGTATCTGTGCACTCTACCTAGAAATAGAGATGTATTTGTCCATTCTGTTCATGATCAGTGTAGTATCTGTGGACTCTACCTAGGGTCAGTGTAGTATCTGTGCATTTCACTTAGGATCAGTGTAGTATATGTGCACTCTGCCTAGGATAAGCGTAAGTGAATATAACGATCCCAACTGGAACTGGAGCTCGGCTCTCAGACTAAAAATTCCGATCCATTATCCATTGCACCATTGTTATGTCCATTACATCCAAGCTTAAAGCACCTGGTATTCCCAAGCGGTCACCCATCTGGGTCAGGCACGACGGTGATCGTACAGGATCCGGTGTTCCAATTCGATGTGGTCGTAAGCCTCAATATCAGGGATAGAGCGTGTGTAAATATAAGAGTAAACACTGAGGTGACACATGGTCTGAAGATTGCGTTCACGTAGGAAACAGACTGTCACCACTCGGTGTTGTAATGATGATAATTAACGATAATAATATCTATATATGCATGCATGTGTGTGTGTGTGTGCGCGCGTATGTGCGTTGTGTGCGCTTGTGTGGATATGTTTCTAGTTGTGTGCGCTTGTGTGGATTTATAGGTGGCTGCGTGTGTTTGTGTCCATGTGTTTGTGTGTTTTTGTGTATGTGTTTCTGTATTTGTGTGTATATGCGTTGGAACGTGCTTGTGTGTTTGTGATGTATGTGTGTGTCTGTGCGTATGTGTTGCGTGAGTTTGTGCGGATATGGCTGTTTCCGAGTATTTGTTTGTATGCGTGCGTATATGTTTTTGTGGGTGTGTGCTTGTGTATCTATTTCTGAGTATGTGCGTGTATGTGTGAGAGAGAGAGAGAGAGTGTGTGTGTGTGTGTGTGTGTGTGTGTGTGTGTGTGTGTGTGTGTGTTTGCCAAAAAATTAATAGCTTCATTTTCATATTCAGCATTTCACAACATGAAGGATATCCTCTTCGTCAAAATGTGTCGGCCGGTTTGCGCGCCGCTGCCTCGGGCAAGGGTGAAGTCGCTTGTAAATTACGATTAGCCGATGCCATAACGATTTGTCCTCCACCCCACTCATTACCAACCTAAAATAATTTATCGAACATTTTCACCATCCACGCCCTCTCCATAGAGAGACACAGACGATTAACTAAAAATTATGGATTAGTATTTTTTATTTAATCTGAAATAAAAATAAAAAAGATATTATACTTTTTCAGCACGAAATTAGTGATTATTTACTAAGCACATTTTTAGTCTGGCACAAGGCTACAATAATTGAGCATTAAGTAAGGATCAAACTCACTCATGCTCTGATCATGGCTTGGTGAATGAAGTATTGTGGTGTTTCTCAGTGTCCGATGCAAACTTTCACTTGGGTGGTAAGTCTTGATGGCATCACTATGCTCCTCTACATAGGCTGCAGGAGAAAGTCTGGCAACTGGAAGAAGCTCCAGACTTTCAGAGCTTCTTCTTTACTTTTTTTCTGCTGGTTGTTTCATCGAATATATCCCCTTATTGGCTCTCTCTTCCCTACAGTAGCTGATTCCTTGGAGGAAAAGGGCGCTTTTCAGAGACTCATTGATTGATTTTTCCGAAGAAAAAAAATGAAGGAAAATGACGCAAAGGAGAAAAGGCAGTAAAGATTGCGAATGAAGCTGCAATTAAATCTTTTTATGATTGTAGGTGGCAATAAAGAAAAAAAAAACGGAAGAGAGTTCCACAGGCGAGAATTGCGAGAAAAAAACCTATTAGAATAGAATTTATTTTCAATAAACATTCTTATATCAATACGCGTATATAAATAAAGACTTGCATATTATATTCCAAATATAATACGCGTGAAAAATATTAAACATTCATAATACATTATAACAACATTATCTAATTCTATTCGTTATCTATCTATCTATCACAGACTGTTTCTTTCTATCTATCTATCTATCTATCTATCTATCTATCTATGTAAATCTGTTCGTTATCTGTCTATTTATTCATCTAAGTCTATTCGTTATCTATCTATCTATCTCGCTAAGTCTATTAGTTATCTATATCTATCTATCTATCTATCTATCTTTCTAAGTCTGTTCGTTATCTGCCTATCTATTTATCTGTCTATTCGTTATCTATCTATATATCTAAGTCTATTCGTTATCTATCTATCTATCTATCTATCTATCTATCTATCTACCTATCTATCTACCTATCTATCACAGATTGTTTCTATCTATCTATCTATCTATCTATCTATCTATCTATCTATTATCTATGTCTCTTCATATCTATCTATCTATCTATGTAAATCTGTTCGTTATCTGTCTATTTATTCATCTAAGTATATTCGTTATCTATCTATCTATCTATCTATCTAAGTTTGTTCGTTATCTGTCTATCTATTTATCTAAGTCTATTCGTTATTTAGCTATCTATCTATATTTCTAAATTTGTTCGTTATCTGTCTATTTATCTAACTTCATTCGTTATCTATTTATTTATCTAAGTCTATTCGTTATTTATGTATATATATATATATATGTATATATATATATATATATATCTTTCTAAATCTGTTCGTTATCTGTCAATTTATCTAAGTATATTCGTCATCTATCTATCTATCTCGCTAAGTCAATTTGTTATCTATCTATTTATTTAAGTCTATTCGTTATCCATCTATCTTTCTAAGTGTGTTCGTTATCTGTCTATCTTCGTAATCTATCTATTTATCTATCACATTAGCCATGTCTTCTTCTTATCGGAGGGAAGTGGGTAAATTTGGAGAAATTTGATTATGCTCAATTTACCTGAATCTTCATTTCCAGGTTAGATTCCCTTTAGAATCATTCATCTTATTGTTTAAAACGTAATTCTTAGCTCGTTTCTTTTCCCGTCTTTCTTCCAACCATTCAATCAATTTTCCTAAAGTTCTAATGACTATTATCCAATTAGTAGTAACTCCAGAGCCCCATCCAGCCATTTCAAGTACATAAACGTTTGAACAGAACAAGTTTCGTGTTAGAACAGGATCACAAAACCAGATATGGCAGTATTTTTCAAAGCACAGATGAATGGTAGATTTATACACGCGCAAAATGGATTCTGACAAGAAAAATTCTCTGACGGAAATTTATTCAATACAGGCCTTGAGAATCACTCAATGTAGATGACTATATGTGGTTGACAATGTGGATCGAAAGAGTGTTTTTGAGAACACTGTAATTGTTCTGTAGTGGGTCGACGGTTACATCGCGACATTAGTTCCTACGACCTTCTTCAGACTGAAGTTTTACTGTCTCTGCTTTTTGCTGAAAATTAAATTAGCCGTCTTTTCAATAAAAAAGATTTTTCTTGTAGTGTCCAATAACACTGTGCGCATGTGCTGTATTGACTGCTTTTATTTTCCTACGTGGGGTAATGTTACCGACTACTTGTCAGTAAAGGGGGGAGAGAGAGACGTGAGTGAGGGAGATTTCAATTTTTCCACATTATCTAGCAGTTTCAGCTCGCGTGTTTTCGCTAAGAGGCAAAAATTTCTCACCGAGAAAATCTGGAGGAGAGAAACACCTTTTTATCAGAAAATCTTCACGTCTTCCCGCTAACTGTTGATTCGTTAATTCACGGCCAACTTAAAAGGCACTAAAATCTGTCATATCCTTCTTTTTTTCTTTTTTTTTTTTTTTTGCGATCGTCGATGCCAATTTCTGTGACTGGTGATCGTCAGCTGACCCTATCAAATATACCATATTTCATAAATACGATATATTTCAAATATGAGTAGCCGTCTATTTTTTAATAATAATTTTTACCCAATACAAATGCTAAGAGCCAGACAAGTTATACAGAGTGTTTCAAAAAGAATACGCTAAAATCATCACGTGATATGTCAAAAACGAAAAACATCACAAATCTCTAGCATGAACACATGTGTTGTATATACATTCAAGTTTCATTTCATGTTTTATAAGTGCTCAATGTGGCCACCACCGGCAGCGCGGACAACATCAAGCCGATATGCTCAACATTTTTATGTGGGTGCTCTGTTACCCAAATGCGCACATTGTGATGACGGACTGTGCCTCTCAAATGGAAATTCGCTTTGTCACTAAAAAATAAACGTGAAAAGAGAGTTTCATCACCTTCCTCCATCTCCAGCATTGACTCACAGAATGTCCTCCGCATCACCTTGTCATCATTAGTAAGTGCTTGGACGAGGCTTAGTTTGTATGGTTTCATGTGTAATCGTCTCTTTAACACACGCCAGACAGTGGTATGAGGGATGACAAGCTGAAGACTTGCTCGACGTACGGACTTGCGTGGGCTGTTCTCAAATGCATCATGAATCCTCTCCACTTGCTCCTCTGCAACACGTGGTCTTCCAGGAGTCTTTCCGTTGCACAGGCACTCACTCTCTTTAAACTGTCTAACCCACCGTCGAATGCTCTCACGATGGGGCGGATCAATGCCGAATTCTGTTCTGAAAGCACGCTGCACCGTGACAATGGCGTTTGTTTTCACGAACTCAAGCACGCAAAACGCCTTCTACTGAGGAGTCGCCATTTTGATTGATCTTCCTACAATTCAGCTGCACCGGAAGTTATACTAACGACAGCGGTGAAACTGACACCCAATCAAACTTTGATAACTACTCTATCAAATAACCACTGATTGAGTCCACTACAATGCTATAAACCTGAAAAAACAGCGTAATGATTTTGGCGTATTCTTTTTGAAACACCCTGTATATTGCTGTATGAGTAAGTAAAGGCAAAATGGGCTGTTCATGAGGTTTTATTTATTTATTTTTACAATGATCTTCATCTTGTGCAAGGACAAAGAGGCACTTAAGTTAGAGGGTTACAGATGACGAGGCATAGTTTATGGGGATATGTCGGGTATATAACTGTTGATCCTAGATTTGAACAGGCCAAGAGTGTAGTGATCGCGGGGAGCATTCTCTTAGGAATCGGTTCAACAAAGAAGCTGCTCGAGTGGAACTACATCTCACCAATGGAATACGAAGAGAATGAAAATGGTTCGCTACAATGGGCGTGGACTGGTGGGTCTTAGTCGTGAAGGTTCGAATTGGTGGAACTAAGGAATATTGTTCGTCCGAACACTTCCCATGAAAATAGAGATAGAGCAGCGAGAGGGTTGCAACGTTTCGTCTGTGGGGAAGGGTTTGCTCTTATGTCGGATAGAAGAAGGGGTCATGTACTTACTGGAGTGTTGCAGTGAATTGACCGTTTTGAAAAGAATTTCATGGAACTTACATCCCACCAAGGCGTGATATGAAGGAAATGAGGGGGGTTCGCTACAATGGGCGTGGCTGTTAACCATGTTCACCATAGTCTATGAATATAGAATACAGTGCAGTACGTAATCTGTTCAATGAAACAACGTTAAAGATTAATACTCAGGAGGCAGACACTCTACTGAATCCGCCTAGATCGTCAATACCACCAGCAGCTGTTCTGTAATTCTTCAGTCTTCGATATCAAAGCTGGTTGTCAGTGAATATCCGGGAAAAACATGGCTGCCTTTATACACGTCGCATTGAATATTTTGAGCCTTCTGATTGGTTAAACCTTCTATTGGTGAACTATAAAATGAGTCAGCTCATTTTGGCTGGCTCACTAGTACCAAGGTACCCAAAAATTCTAACAGTGGCATGGCGGATTTTAGCAATTAAGGTTTGAACTTAGGACTGTAGTTTATCCGAACACACTCCATGGAAATAGCGATACAGCAGTGAGAGTTTTGCGACGTTTCGGCTGTGAGAAAGAATTTGCAGAGTAGATAATAATTCATCGACTACAAGAGAGAAAGAGTGGAAAGTGTATACTGTACATCTCCCACCCAAATATGGCAACAGTACTCCATTTTCGGCCTGATCTGGCTCTTTTAAAGGTAGCTGATAGCAGGAGGGGTTCAGGTACTTACTGGAGTGTTACAGGGAACTGACCATTTTTTAAAAAGTTTCATAGAACTTACATGTCACTAAGGCGAGATATGGAGGGAATGAGGGTGGTTCGCTACAGTGGGTGTGGTATGGTGGTTCTTAGCAGGGAAGGTTGGAACTGGTGGAACTAAGGACGCGGAAATGCTTTTGAACTCTGTCAAGACTTGAAAGTGAAGACTGTGCATCTCCTGCCCATATATGGCAGCAGTAATCCATTTTCGGCCTGATCTGACGCTCGTAAAGTTAAGGGATAGCAAGAGGAGTCAGGTTATGTAGGGAAGATAACGGTTAACCCTAGAATTAAAAAGATCAACATTGTAGTAGTTATATCTAGATTTGTTCGTAATCCTTAACTTATCTACTTTATACACACAGTCTATCTATGCATATTGTTACGAACTTGTAGCATATAGGTGAACCACGGGTTTTAAATAAAAGGGGAAAACGAGGGATCTTTTCTCGGTCTTCACTCGGAGTGAGAAGCGATACAAGGTAGTCAGCGAAAAACAGACGCAAGACGATGGATTTCAAAAAAAAAATGAACAGTTATTTATTTATTTATAAATACAGAAACAGGTAAAGAAAGAAAAAGAAAAATCGTTTAACAAAGGAGAAAGGGGTCATGAAAGAACAAAAGTTACGAACGAATACATATGTAGAGGACTGTATATATTTGATATTTCAAAATTGTTGGTAAAATTACTTTTGTTGGCAAGAAGCGTGTTCTTAAATTAGGGACACATACTGTTTATTCGTAAATCGCTAGAAGGAGGTCCAACGACAAGAACCATGACAACAAGATCAAAGACATTTTCGACCTCGAATGTTGAGTCCAACTTATCAGCTATCCTCAAGATGTAAAGAAAACAAACAAGACCGATATATATATATATATATATATATATATATATATATACAGAGTATTAATATTATTTAATTAATTGATTTTGGTGAAAAATTTTAATTTCGTTTAATAACCATAAACAAACAATACGTTTTTCCCCATAGCTAAACACTACATCAATCAGCACACATTAGAAAAACTGCAAATGTTTACAGTTCTAATTCACACGCAGAAAAAAAAATATTGGTTTGTTTCAAAAATGGAATAGCTAAAAATCTTTATAAATATTTCAATAGCTCAGAATTTAAAATTTTGTAATTTTTAGGAATATCTGAAACATGGTTAGAACTGCCAACAAACAGTAATTTTTAATTTATTTGTAACAAACAGTTATTTCTGAAAAATTGAGACAATTTGAAATATCAAATATATATATAAATAAATAAATACATATTTAAAATATATATATATATATACTTGATTTAAAATGACTAGCGAACTTTCCCGTCGAATTCGACGTATGAGGGTCAAAACAGATCAGTTCCCAGGAAACTGACAGCCCCCGACAA